ACACTTTTTTGCATGTGGGCCTGGCAACTAAATCTATTGTTAGCTTTACCTGCCAAGCAGGCTTGATTGGCGAGTTCTTGGAAAATTTTGGTGGAGGAGGTCTCCAATGCGCAAGAAGACTGGGCCGAAAATCACTCTTCTCGGCGCTCAATTCTTCTCGTGCGCTGGCGGCTCTGGCACCAAAATTTTCAACTAACTCGCCAACTGAACCTGTTAGCAACCTACTGTGATGATGTCTGTGGTTTTTGTGTGGGCTGGCTCATCACGGTTATGTTCACACTATAATGCCTGACAGCTCTTACGACTTGCGCCGATACAAAAGCCATATCAAATAGGGCTTATATAATGTTCACACACATAAGGACATGTCCAATACTCACAACTAGATTCCGACAAAACCTGGAGTCCAAAAGGTGGAAAAATGAAACCGGAAGTACAGTCGTGTGCACTTGAGTTACCGGAAGTCTAGTCATAAGATAAAACCGGAAGGGTAAACAATACTTTGACAGGAGGGTTAGAGGGTCGTCCGATGGAGTTCATTGGTATCGATTCCGATGGAATCTCCGGAAGTCTAGTCGTGCTATGAGTCAACACAAGCATACTGCACGTGTAACGTAACTCGTTCTTTAAGTCCTAAGTCGAGACTGGCACGCTTAACATGTAACATGAGTCGGAAAGTCGAATCAAGCACGCTACCAATATAACATAACTCGTTCTTAGAGCACTGAGTCAAGACAAGCACGCTACACACCGTAACATAACTGAGCACTAGCGTATGACATAATTCGGCCATAAGTCGAAACAAGCTCTCTACACACGTAACATAACTCGTTCTTAAAGCCCTGACTCTTCCGGGCCCTATTAAGGTCTCGGTAAAGGAAAACGAGGTGCCCACAGAAAAAAATTCTAGTCGCGCGAGTATTTTCGCTACAAAGGCAAGTTATATACCAAATTAAAGCTAAAAGACTAAATTACCTTATAAAAGATTTTATTTCATCGAATTTCAAAAGGCGCTTAAGTTTTTTGCTCTCGAACTCAGAGGTATCGAGTTTACTGCTGAAGCTCCAGCCCTTTCGCGTTGTTAAATATTCACTTCCTTTTTATTGCATCTGATTGACAGGTAAAAGACCTAAAAAAGGGTGTGAGGAAATTTGCATATGTCTCGTATTAGCGGAATTATTGCATTTTAAACTAAAAAGTCGAATCTCGAGCGCGATTTACGCAAAGAAACTAACATAAAATGAGTTACAAAGGGAAATCGGAAAATTCCTCACACCCTTTTTTAGGTCTTTTATCTGTCAATCAGATGCAATAAAAAGGAAGCGAATATTTAACAACGCGAAAGGGCTGGAGCTTCAGCAGTAAACTCGATACCTCTGAATTCGAGAGCAAAAAACTTAAGCGCCTTTTGAAATTCGATGAAATAAAATCTTTTATAAGGTAATTTAGTCTTTTAGCTTTAATTTGATATATAACTTGCCTTTGTAGCGAAAATACTTGCGCGACTAGAATTTTTTTCTGTGGGCACCTCGTTTTCCTTTACCGAGACCTTAAATGCCAGTCGAATTCGAGACAGGCACGCTTAAAAAGCCACGAGTCGAAAACAAGTACGCTAAAACCATGAAATGGAACAAGAGCCCTGCGAAACAAGGACAGCAGGCGAGTATCGATTGTTTTCACTGTCACGCAACAAAAAAATAAATTGCAAACCGTCCGGTGGAAGAAGCCAAGAATATGAAATGTTATGAAAGACTAACTTATAAACAATTATCCAAGTCTCAGGTCTTTGTGGCCCACAGTTTCTGAGTTATTTGCCCAAACGTTTCACTCACCTTTGTAGAGCGAAAGTGAAATAGAGTTTGGCTCATTCTTGTCACAGATATTCAGGGGCTGTTCAGACCTGAAGGGAAGAAGATCCTAGTACCAGGAAGGTCCTAGAAGGCGGATCATCCTGGCGCCATATGTTTTCTGTATTCAGGGTTTACACGCCAAAAGTTGCACTTGTCCCTAGCGCTGGATCTTCCTAGCTTACAGTTAGGAAGATTCTAGGACTGGGAAGATCCTAGCACGTTGTAAACTGCCTTCGCTAGAAAGATCGTAGTCCTCGGGGAAAACCAGACAAAAATAGAAAATGGCGGCAGGTCGTTCGATGGCTTTTCACGTTAATAAAGTCCAGTCATTTCGTTAGGCGTTACCACGAGCTGATCATTGTGATAATTCTGCTGAAAGATAGTTATTACTAACACCAGTGAATAGAGCAGAAAGGCCCAAATTGTATTTTTGTTTTGGTTACCCTCGATTTTTAATACCGTCTCGATCCTTCTCTACTTGAGCACCACACGGACCGAAATTCCTGCACGGCGTGAAACCTAACGAAAAGTTGTTCCGCCTTCTGTAAGGATCTTCCTGGTAATAGGATCTTACTCCAGCCGACTCAGCTAAAAAAAAAAAATACACCGCTACTCTAAGCCCTGCTCTTTTAATTGTTACGGTTCTTCAGTTTTTCCGCTCCAATATAAAAGACATGAAAACATTTCTTACGATAAGTGTTCGCATTCTAATTAGTTGCCGTTTCAAACGGGACTGAAATCCGCCTTGTCCGCGAGTGATCTCCATTAGCGGGGATTCTCGACAGAATTATCAACTGAACAAAAAGAGATACAGTGGAGAAATAGAGAGGGATTTCTAGGAATTAAAACGACTAAAAACGATAAGTGAATCATGACTTTGTGAACGTAATGGGAAATTCTGAGAATTTGTGGAAGTATATCATCATCTTTGTAGTTTAAGTAGTATTGGGTCAAGTCCCTTCATTACAATTTTCAAAAGAAGTGAAAAGGGTTTTCCGCATGACGATGTGCTCTCTAAAAATAATAAAAAAAGCGTAAAAAATACCTATTGAATAAGGATATATTTTCAAAAGTCGCAGCAGAACCGAAACTAGTAGGCTACTATGCCTTCGGGGTGAAACAAGGCAAACCGACTCTTGTGAGTGATCCTTCCATTGACGAGGGATATAAACTTCAATAGAAATCGTCCTTGCCTTCGTTGATACATTTTTCATTGCGCTGTGATGTGTTCTTCCAAAGTACAACTCCAATAGGGTATGGTAAATGGGAACTATGTAGTAGTGGCAGTGGTATTGGCAAGATTGACGGACAGTAGGTTCTAAGAATTCATAATATATTTATGACTACTCTAGTAGGAAATTCCTAGAATGTGCGGAAAAGATTCCAAAAGGAAAAAAAAAGAAGAAGAAGTCACATCCATTAATTTCCATGCAATTTCTAAGAAATGTGCGCAATTTTCCACCTGTTCCCTAATAATTGAAACTTAGAAATAGAAAATATATAGTTAAATTGAAGCAATTATGTTTCAAAATTCTTGCTTTTTCGGTTGTGGTAGATCCCAATCAAGTTATCAGGTTTTCGAAGAAAAATCAGTGCCCGCATTTTGTTAGCTGTTTGTATTCCAGCAATTAATCTAGAAGTAAAATATCGTAGATTATAGTTTAGAATCATAAGCAAATTAATCGAAGCTATAACTATATTTCAGAAAGAATACGAACAGCCAAACCAAAATTACCAAGGCTGGACTTCAAAGTGAGTCATGGTGTGTCTTTCGTTCACGAAGGACTGTTTTATCGATACACTTTCTGCTTGCGTTGTTCTATTCCACAGTTGATGTTAAATAATTATGACAACAGAATAATTTCTAGGGTAGAATACGGGTACAAGACACATACAAGAACCAGAAGGGCAAATTTGAAGAAGTGCAGAATAGAGCATGATTTCGGTGGAGAAAACTTCCGCTTTATGTAGCAAATAACTAATTTCGTTTTAATATTGTCACTACTTGAGTTAAATGCATGCATATGTTTGCGAATAAGGTTACTTACCAGACTGAAGCAGGCAAAAGGTAATGAAAGTATACAGATAAAAAGAGAACGCTTTCATGATTCAGAAACTCTCAAGAAACAGGCTGGAAAGACGCAATACACAATCGACGCGACGTGGGGTGAGGTATATGATAAATATGCTTTTGTACATAATAGAGGCCTGGCGACTAAGCCTGCAAATGTCAGCTAAGCCTGCCAGCAACACCATCAGGCTCGGGGGAAATTTTGGTGGCGGAGCCGCCAGCGCGAGAAAAGAATGGGCCGATGAATCACTTTTGCTCGGCCCAGGCTTCTCGAGCGCTGGCAGGTAATTTGGCAATAGCCTGTTCCAGGCGTTCAGATAGTAGAGCGCGGCAGTAAGTGGGGGAGCGAGTTAAGTTGAGTTGTACACCGGGAAAACGGGGGCCCTCGTATTTTTTTTCTTCGTGAATTTTTCTCCCGCGCTTTACAATCTGAACACCTGGAACAGGCTAATTTGGCACCTAAATTTTCCCGAACTCGCGCGCTAAGTGAGCCAGCTAGCAGCCTACAGGGAGCTCTGGGCAGGCTGAGCTCTGTTGTAGTCGATGTCGCTCGGGGCCTGCGGTGTCAGTTATGGCGGCCTGACATGTTTTTCGTAGCTCCGCCATTATTGGCCAATATTTTTGCCCTATGTAGATATCAGCACTTATGGCAACCCTCAGTAGAAGAAATTAAAAAGCTACTAGAAACAGAACTTAGCCCAATACGAGCAAACCCGCAGTCAATTGAAAAGAAATTTTTCGACTTGAAAACTTCAGTGGATTATATGTCAGCAATGTAAAGCAAATCCACTGTCATAGTTAATAGTGGGAAACAACTTCTCATAAATTTAGCTATTGTACTCTTTGACTGCAGTTCATTTATGGGTGTGTGTGTATCAGTGTTGGCGTGTTTTGCGCTTGATGTCTACATATCAAATTGTAACAATACAAGACTAGTATCTAACTCGGAAACCTAACGGTTTATTTAGATGCTAGGCATTTCCTTAGCTGTAATGTATTTTTAGCTTTCCATTCTGATTACAATGCACTGTAACCGTGTAACTGACCATTAGGCTAAAACTAGCGTCTGTAAGGCCGTCGATAAAATTCGGAACATGGAACATTCCGGAACATCCCGGAACATCCCGGAACATGCAAAAATAAAAATAATTTTCATGAAAAAAAATATAATAAAATAATAATAATAAATAATTTTTGTAAAAATTAATAATAACGTGAAATAACAAAAAAAAAACGAAAAATAATGAAATAATTAAGAAAAAGAAACTGGTATCCTCTCTGAGTATGAGAAAACAATATTTTGTCGCAACCGATTAAACTTTGTTGGGCGAGTGAGGGTTCATGCAAATGTCAGTAATGAGTGAAGGCTTGCTTCTAAATTCAAAATATATTAAAATGGGTCGCGAGGAGTGGTTTTTTTAAGCTTTCGTCACAGAGCTACCTCTTGTAATTGTTTGCCATGAGTTAATCATCTGGCGGTTATCCATTTACGGCTCTGCGATGGTCTAAAATGTCGGTGCAGTATTTCATGTCAAGCCCCGTCGGTAAGTAGCTCATTTCAAGCCAACATATATAGTCTCCTTACATATAACCGACATTTGTTTACTTGAGGTGCTTTGCTTCACTTGAGGTTGACATGAATTACTTACAGACTACACTGAGACTAGGCGGCTCTGGGAACTTAAGAAGAGTATAGGGGCTCCTGTCTTTGGATTTTAGTGGACAATACTCACATTCGTAGTAGTTTCTATACTGTTTACAGTCAGCATGATATTTCAGACGTCTCCTCGAGTCGCAAGAGGAGTTTGCGGGGAGACGGCTAAAATTCAGGCTAACTGATAACAGGTAGAAACTACCGCTGCGCTACCACTGCCACTGCAACTATTCGCGGCGAATGTGAATCTTTAATTTAATTATTCAAGTCCAGAGCGACGAGCCCCTAAGCTCTTCTTACGGTCGCAAAGCCGTAAATGAATAACCGTTAAACCGCATGGCAAACATTTCCATGGACCCTCGCCCCACAAATTATTTGCGACAAAATATTGTTTTCTCATACCCGGAGATGATACGAGTTTCTTTTTCTTTATTTCTTTGTCTTATTTTACGTTATTATTAATTTTTATAAAAATTGTTTTATTATTATTATTATTTTATTATTTTTTTTTTCATGAAAATTATTTTTATTTTTGCATGTTCCGGGATGTTCCGGAATGTTCCGGTATGTTCCGGCATGTTCCGGAATGTTCCATGTTCCGGATTTTATCGACGGCCCGTCTGTAACTATTATTATTCTAAAGCGAAATGTAAATAAAGCTTGTTGTTGTTGTCGCTCCTGTAATCTGAGATGTTTGCGGTTTTTATGTGGGCTGGCTCATCACGGTTATGCTCACACTACAATGCCTTACAGCTCTTGCGACTTGGGCCGATACAAAAGCCTTATGAAATAGGGCTTATGTTCACACAGAACAGTGATTCCGGAGTGGTTTCTGAAACCCCGAGGCGTAGTTATCGAGTCTCCCGAGCGCACGCAAGATTCCCAGAAACAAACGCTTTCAAATATTTTTCCCACCAAAAACGCATTGCAATTAATACCTATCACCCATGACGAGATGAAGAGATCAGAGATTCTGAAGACTCCCTGGCCTTTCAGGACTTGTCGCTTTCATGGCGAAACGGTACATGCGCTGTTCTTTATGGATCAATTATAAGTGGAGACTGCACACTGTAATCTTCGTTGCTTCGCCTGCTGAAGGAAAACACCACCGAACTACCTGCATCGCAAGTAATATCACTAATCACGTGGTTACGCAAAATTTACTCGATAACAGACAATGGGCTTATAGAAAGGGAAAGTCAACAGAACAGTTATTAATACACCTAACTGAGAGGTGGAGAGAAGCAGTAGAAAGAAAGCTTTTTGTGGGAATACTGTTTGTGGATTTCACCAAAGCTTTCGACACAGTGTCGCACAATATATTGCTACAAAAGCTGAACGACCTTGGAATCAGAGGAGATGTCTGGCTGTGGTTAAAGAACTACCTTACAGAACGAAGACAATTCGTCAGAATCAACGGATCCGACTCCGATACACACATTATAGCTCACGGAGTGCCTCAAGGGTCGGTCCTCGGACCCACGTTATTCTCCCTCTTCACAAACGACCTCCCAAAATCACTACGCTCTGCGGAAACTTACCTGTATGCAGACGACACAACAATATACTGTATTGCAGAAACGATGGATTTGCTAACAAACTCATTAAACAATGTTCTAGCTGAACTCCAGGAATGGTGCGACAGAAATTCGATGGTACCACACCCAGAGAAATGCAAAGCAATGATCATGCAGCGCAAATCAACATTTACTGGCCCTATCCAAGCTCTGCGCCTTGGCAACAACATCATAAAGTGGACAACCTCAGAAAGACTTCTCGGAGTACAAGTTGATAACAAGTTGTCGTGGTCAGATCATGCTGCAAATGTAGCGAAGTCCTTCGCATCCAAGTTAAGTCTACTCCGACGCATGCGATTCCTCCCTCAGAAGCAATTAGAAGATTTCTACACAAAAGTGATACTGCCATCAGTTACATACGGTCTGACAGTGTGGGGATCGTGCAACAAGACACACCTAAAAAACTTGGAGAAACTCCATGCAAGGGCTGGACGGATTGTAAATGGGCTGCCATGGGACACAAGCGCTGAAGATGTCTTAATGCGAACTGGATGGGATAGTTTGGAAACAATGTACAAACTGCGACTAACGGAGTTTGTCTTCAAATGTTTAAAAGGTTACACCATCACGGAATTTAAAAATTTGTTTTTACAGAGGAATTCAGGCTGCAGAAGAAATGAGAACATCATTCTTCCAAGACCAGAAACAAATTTTATCAGGAACTCCATACGCTTTAGAGGAGCAATCGCATGGAACACTTTAACGAACAAGGAAACAGGGGTCAAAACCTTGAAAGAATTTAAACGCTGTCTCGTAAAATTTGATACCGATAAAATGCATTTCGAACCAATCTTAGCTACTACCAAAAATAGAGATATCGGTTACGAATACTTTTAACAGTTTTAATTTTTAATTGTACATTTTCATGACCTATTTCAAACATTTTTAACAGTTTTTAGTTTTTAATCGTACTTCTTATTTTTCTTGTAATTGTTAGTATGCACAACCCCACCAGCAATGCTGATCTTTTTATCGTGCTAAAATAAAGTTCTTATCTATCTAACAAATGACGAACCGCAAAACCGTATAAAATGGTCATGAATTGAGCCCAGGAAAGAGAGAAGCAAGCAAAAATAAACCCAAGTTTACGAAAGTGAAATCAATTCATTTCTATTTTTATGCCTGTACTTCTACGTTTTAACAACTATATTGGTTTTTTTCATGCAAGTCTAGCTATAAATCGTTCGTATTATGCAAAACAGTATCAAAACACGCGGTAATCTATGCCATGACCGAACGTGGGCTGCCTTTGAATGGATCGTCACAGATGAGGGATAGTACTGGTACCAGTCTTAGTGGCAAAATGAACAGGTGTTCAACCAGGCCGTGTTCGCTCTCTTTTTGACTATGTGGGTCTATTCGGTCTACACCAATAACATAAGGACTCGTACCTAGTCCCGATCCGTTTGAAATTAGGCAAGGGAGATTTAGAATCACAACCGACGGCAAACGTCAAATTGAAGTTGGCAATTTTCAAATTGGAAATGAGAGGATAAAAGCTGTCCAGAATGATTCTTACTGATGAACCTGGCATGAAAGTTCTAATTTTTGTGTAAGAAAAAACTTGATCAGGTCAGTACAAACTGCTGTATAAAACAAGTCTCCAAACCTTTCTAATATCAAGCCATCTTTGGCCCAATGTTGACGAGTAGGAAAGTGCGACTGTTCACGAAAATTATTTGTTATCGGATTCCTACATAACCTGTTCACAGACCCTCTATTTTCTCTTCAAAGTCCGTCGAGCCCGGGTGATAAAATATAATTTATAAACCGCAGGGGATTTATTTACCGCCAGCGCAATTGTGTAGAGGTTTCTTTCTCGCGCTCGCTTCGCTCGCGAGCTAACCGATGTTTTTCGAAAAGAACGAAAAGAAAAATACCACAACGCCTTTGTACAGGCTAATTCCCAAGAGATGGCGACGTTTTCTCTGCGATCAGACGGGACAAGCCAATAGGTCCCAGACCCTAGTTCCGTCCTCCTCACGCGGACGAACATTTGCGAAGAGCTGGGGCAAGTCACGCGATCACAACATGACACTGAAACCTCAGTGTGGAAAGCTTTATTTTCCTTTTTTCGTACTGTCTGGTAAATAATGTTTCTGACGTTGACGAGGGATGTTGGGTTTTAATAATGGGAACCCTCCAATGGATGGTGGACTTTTGAAAGGAGCTAAATTGCGTGCTTTAGTTGCGTATCAGATGTTCTTTGCATGACGGAGTGAATGTCAACTATGTCTTCGAGCCTTTTTCCCAATGTATCAACAACCTCGGTTCCCGACAAAGACATTGTACTTGATGCCTGCCAAGTAATTTTGTATGGAACAGTTAACCCCAGGTAAGGCCTTAACGAAAACATGCAGCCGTTTTTCCCAGAGGAACTTACAATGCAGCAGCCCGTTAAGCCGGTAGCCGGTCAAGGTTTTCTGATCACTTAACACAAAACTGGCCGACAGTCCGATACTCATTTGTCACGTCTTTAGTTGACGTTTGTAAACAAGCGAACTAAGTTTAGGATTGTAGGGTCTACATTGTAATGGGCGACAAGGCATAATAATTTTTTCCTAGAAGTAAATATCCTAACCAGCAGTTTTGCCTTGAAGAACACAGCTTGTTTACAGTTCCAGACCTTTTGTTTGACTGCTCGCGCGTACTTGAATACGCAAAAATACGGACTGTTTTGCAGTCTAAGATCTTTATAGATATTTTCGAATTCTAGAAAGAAAAAAAATAACGTATTGAACATTGAACATCTTGGAGCACATGTACACTTAAGTATGGGACACTATTTTTACGTCTCCTACTTGAGACGGGACCGCCATTTTAGGTGGTCATCCGAGCCACGCTAAGGTCCAGCCGCAGTTGCGGTGCAAAGGAAGTACCTTCATTTCTCAGTTATTTTAAGACCCTGAGTAAATGGCCCGGCCCCGGGAATCGAATCCACGACCTCCCGCTTTGTAGTCAAGCGCTCTACCGACTGAGCTAATCCTGCTGCGGTTCAGTTAATGAGAGACAATTAATTTATCTTTAATGTATTGTCAAATAAATTTAATATACTCCAGGCCATATATGGTGCAACATAGGTGAATCTACAAGCTGTGAGCCAAGAGAAACTTCTTTCCAAATAATTTACAGTAACTACATGTATACTGATTTCTGGCTGTACCTACAATCGGCGACAAAATTGTTGAGACATTGTACTCAAATAGGGTAACTTCTGAAAACCCCTCCCCTGTCCCCTCCATTCAGAGTTGGGATGTTTCTTGTTTTCTAAAGGTAGCTCGAACAGTGGCACAACATTGCATGGAGGGGATGGGGGAGGAAACGCTATCTCTTCCCCTTCTAAAGTCCGGAAAACGTCAAAAAGTCCATTTAGGGCAAAGTGTCTCAACTCATTTTATCGCCAATTGTCTGAATCAAAATCTACGCGCTGTTGTCCTATTAGCACAGGTTAAGAGACGATAACTAGCTGAGATTACTATATTCACCGGGTCGTTTTTAACAAAATGGATAGGATACCTATATCATCGCATTGCTGTGTTTTTCGAGGGAAAATTAGTTTTGCCAATCTTTGTACTCGGTAGTGTTTTCCAGTAATTACGCGCCATACCCACTTACCGAAAGATTGATTTTCCTCTGGTATCTAAATGTTGTTGCCAGGAGTCGATGGCTGATAATATATTGTTTGTGAATATCTCCCGAGTAAGTGCGAAGTGTTTATTTGAAGTTTGGCTATTCAGTAAGGGTGTGATCGACGATAAAATGGCCATAACTGCTATGCGCTGGAGAATTTTCAGAAAAAGAGCTCCGACTTCTAACGCACAGCAAACCTGCATAGCATCCCTACATCTGTGCAGAAGATTAGTTTCCCATATACTTAAATGAGTCTTTGAAGAATGTACTTTACAGTAGAAACTATGAGGTTAGGAGGAGATTGGCCACGAGTAACCATGAGTAACCAACTTTGTTCTTAAAGATAATCTAATTATTTTATTTTACACTTATCCTGGTTACTCGTGGTTACTCGTGGAAATTTGTACTAAACAGGAATTTTAGCGATTATAACTGCTTTATTGCCTAGAAATCTTTTTCGTTTTCTGTCCTATTCACGTTGTACTTTGTTTCGATAAAGGAGAGGGGTACGCTAAATATAGAGAATATAGAATTTTGCACACTAACTTTTATTAAACCATTAATCATAAATATTAAACAACCATTTTTTTTCTTTTCCTTTTTCTCGGCAGCTCCATCAGGATTTTTGATGTGGTCCTTCTGATTCCAAATGCCTTTTTCCTCATTTTCCTTGTGTATAGACTTGGCTTTGCTCACATACAGCTTCACAAAATTAAGTGTCCAATTGTTAAAACAGTTTATTCCATGGTAAGTTTTCTATTTTAAGTACACATCAAATTTGATTTCAGGTTACAATTTTTTAACCCAGTTTGATTCTCAGTTTCCTTTGTCTCCTAGTCCTAAAAGACACAGGAAATTGAGAATCAACCTGGGTTAAAAAATTGTAACCTGAAATCAAATTTGACCTGTAACATATACACGTAAGTTCTAGATACATTATTTGCCTTTAAGGTGGCAGTGTGTGGCCGAGCGTTTAGAGTACTGGACCTGTAGCCCAGAGGTCGCGAGTTGAAGTCCTGCCCTAACTGCTATAGCTGGATTTACTCTCGGTAGTCCTGATTTCAAATCCTCAGCCACACTTCTAAAATAGCCAACTCAGGTATCATTCGCTTCCTATCATTTGGGATTCTGAACTGTACTGACACAGAGGAGAAGTTTTATTTGTTTTAGTTTATTATTTTAATAGATAATTGAATGCTAATTTCTTGTCACTCTCTGCGGATGAAGTAATCAACATTTTATTCTATTTTAGGTGATCAAAAAGCTTCTTCCGTCTATTATTGCTCTCCTGATTCCTTTTAACTCAGATATCTTTCAGTTATTATTTTTGAGACAAAATTAAAAGTATAATGCCTTTGAATTCTGACTTTGGTCTTTGTTTGATACCTGGGGTGCTTACCATTTACACAAACCTGACCCAGGTGGAAATCCTTTGCATGAAAATGAAACTAAAAAAATTGACGTGGTGTGAGAACAACCCACTCCAAAGTATATCCAAATCAGAACAAACTAGAACGAGTAGAAAAATTGCATAGCTCTAAATCACATGCAGCCCATGTTTTCTGAAGCTTCCCAAACAGAATGGCACAAACCATTTGACTTTCCAATCGGGATTTCCAGTTTTTCCCTTTTAAATGGTGAGTGGTTTCTGTCGAATAATCCTGTTTTATGGCTTCCTTGTGAAGTCTTTAAATATATATACATTTGTATTGATGTGCTTAAGATTGAGGGGTTGGGTGATTGAATATAAATTAGGACAAAATCCTGCAAACAGCCTTTCAAGGAATTATGAGGACAAAATTAATTCTGAGTACATAGAGTCCTTTACTAGTCATGGACACCCCAAAATTAGGTACTTAAATAAAACAAATATTATGTGCTATTATTTTTATTGAAATGTCTATTTTCATTAAAACATAAAGTTGAAGAGATGTTACTCAATCATGGAATGAATACAATTTAATGCATATTAAACAGGATGAGCTTATTATTGTTTCCTTCACCCTGTAGGTTGTTCTTGTATGTGTTGTTGGAATAATAAGATGTTTTGTGTCCATGCTTTTGTCATCCATCCAAAAACATCCTCACCGAGATGCCCTTCCAACCAAGGTATGACATACAGCCTGCCAGTTAATAGTGAGTTCCAAACTTTACATTTTTGTCTTCTTTTTGGTAAATCTTATAGGGATGCATGCTGGGAGTTGTGACTCTAAGGCTCTCAGCTGAGCTATAAAAAATATGCTTGACTTGGAAAAAATGATGATAACATTCATTTGTTTCATGGGTAATATTAAATTTGAATTTGAATTTCTCTTTTACATTGTATGTACATTTAATGCCCCTTAGATATAAAATTTGTGTCACTTCCCCCACTGAAGGATAAAAACGTTTGGGATTTTTAAATATATTCAATTTCGTAAACCTTTTTTATAATTATATAGGGTGACATTTTTATTTCATTATCCTATATGCATTTTTTAAAAAATTTTAATCCTGCAGATTTTATGGTTGCTTTTGAGTTGCTTCTTGTTAGCAGTGGAGTTGAGTGTAATCATATTTGGAGTTTGGGCAGGTAGGTAAATTGTGGTATTGAAAAGTGCAAAGTGCAAGGCTGACTTAAGAGTTAGTCCATGTGATGAAAAGTTTCCTTGTAAGTAGGTAGGTGCATGCAGGATTTTTGCCAGGTGCAGATATAGATACAATTACAGTTGAATTCCCTGTGAGTGACCTGACCCAAAATGCAAAGACTTGGTGGGCGCTTATGGGAGGTGACCACTTACAAGACAAGAACTGAACTAGGTGGGGTGCAGGTTCCTCTGGGAAAAAGTCAGGACATATCTGCTTTATGGAAGATAACTTCATTGCATGTGTAGTTCCATATTGTTGTTAAAAGTTCTTTATTTTTTACATAATGCACTAAGTAGCATATTACATACAGCAAACAGAAAGATCAGACCATGTGTCAAGAGCTTACAAGAGGTTAAAAACAATGGAAAACTAATAAATCGTTAGCCCAAAATGTGGTCGCATTCACTTACAAGAGGTGGTCATCAACCGTAGAGAGGTTTGACTCTTTTAATTTTGGTGGTTTGGTCCGGTGGTGGCACACAAGAGGTGGTCGCACATGGAGGTTCTACTGTATGCCTCAATGGCATATAGATGACTGTGTATGTAATAGGGTGGACTTGCCGTAAAACAGTAAGGTTAAATGCAGAGAAAGACTGGCCTGAAAATAGGGTGGTCTGCAGGTTCATCAAGAAGGTAGGCTGTGGCAAATAAGGGATTTTGATCTTGAAGTTGATTATTATTAAGAAGGTAAAATCGTAGCCTGTGAAGGTCACTGCAGGGAATAATTGTGTTAACTAAAGTTTGAAAAGTAGTGGAAAGGTGGCCTAACGTAGATTGTAAGAACTTGCGCCTGTAAGAAATGAGAAGGTAGCCTGTAACAAGTGATCCCGCTAGAATAAATGTAGCCAGTTTTTAGCAATTAGTTAGTAAATGGTACGTTATACGGCCTACAGTTTTCCTGTTGTTAAAGATAAGTGAGTACAACTAGGTAACCTGTGGGAGGGGAGTGACATAATATCAAAACAGAAGTGTACATGGTCCTGGTTTGTCAAGTGAGGAAGCAGGCTGTGACATATGAGTGGGAATGCTTACACTTAGAGAGAGCCGTATATCCTATAAAAGGTAGAAGTCGGTGACATGACATTCGCCCCTGAACCGCCCTTAAACGCCCGTGGGGATCAACGTTCCTTGTATCGCTTTTGACGTCATCAGCTTTAACGGTTAAGGACAATAGAGAGGAGAGATGAGACGTCACGTTACCACGGTAGCAATATTTCTGGATGACAACAAAACCAACGACGACGGCGACGGCAAGGAGAACGGCACGCATTTTAGGCATCCTACTGATGAACAGTTCGGACACTTAGATATATTTTTTAGCAACTACTATAATTTGCAGTCTGTCTACTTTGAATTGAATTGAATGTTTATATTAACAAGCAACAACTTTGCACGTGAATCACGCTATTTTATACATCTCTTTACCATCGTTGCACCACTACGACTACGCCCGCTTTATGTAGTACATGTAGGTGAACACAACACAAACTTGGATAACGATAGATACGGTCCCAGAGAAAATTTCGCCAAGATTTGCCAATTTAAATGAAATTGAATAAGATCGGTGAAGTTTGAAATAATGCGAATAGACTACCAAAAATTTTGCTACCATGGCAACGTGACGTGAGGACTTCTCCTCTCTATTTTTGCCAAATGAACGTGATTCAGTCAAGCCGAGGGACTGCAGAAAAAGGCAAAAAACCATGCTACGCGTTGACCCAAAATTCCGATTAAAATCTTTTCCACTTACCCGCGTGCACTTTCTTCCATCTGAAAGCTTTCCCGAGAACCTTTTTCCACCGAAATGAAGTTTTAACTAATAAATGCCCAACAAAAGAAAAAAGTGGGGCAAGAGAAGCGAAAGATAAAGGGAGGAGGCCGGAAAGCAAAAGGTAAAAGTCGAGAATTCGGAGACACTTTTGAACTCGAGAACCCATCTCCAAATGTTGCTTCTGCGCATGCTCGAACTTTGGAAGGTGATATTTTGCATCTGGAACAGAAGCCCGCGAAGTGCACGACCTGTAAATCAGAACACGACTTGACTGTACGCAAGTTCATTTCTAAGGACATATTAGTTCGTCTCTACAAGGCTTATGTTCTCCCTCACCTAGAGTACTGTAGTCCCCTTTTACTGGGAGTAGGCAATGCCGAGACTACCAAAACAGAGACAACTAATTATTTTATATTAAAGGAGCTGTGTCACGAAATTCAGCCAAATTAGGAAATTACAAAATGTCCGTTTAATTAAGAGAAACATAAAAATAACCGCTTAAAACTTTAAAGGAAGGTTAAAATAACATAATAGAATCAACAGATGTCACGCATGGGCAAAACTGAAGAGGATTGAAACGGATTGAAATTAGGATTTTTGAAAACTGTTCAGCCTAACAGTTTTTCAAAGTTTATCCCTGCTGCTTCCAACTTCAAAAATAATGCTCAGGAGATATATTTATTTGTCTCGGGTCTCTGATTTTGTCATTTACATGTAATTTCTTTGCTTACATTAAGTTCCATAGCGATTGAGAGCGAGTAATTGGCAAAATTAAACAAAATGAACTGCACTACCGTGACACAGCTCCTTTAAGAACTATATTAGGCTATTCGAAGTCTGTGTCATATGACTTTCTCCTCAAGATGGCTGATATCAAGTCCTTGGAGAAACGTAGGCAATTCCAATCTTTAGTTATGTTATACAGATGCTTGTATGACAAGGGGGCACCTTATATCAGTGAATTTTTTAATTTTAAGGATGTACCGTACAACTTACGTGGGCTTAACAGAAGGCTAGATCTACCTCCCTTTAATCTGGAGTTTATGTATCGATTCTTTACATTTTTAGCCAGCAAACTTTGGAATGCGTTACCTACAAAAGTCGGAGAATCACAAGACATTCACTGATTGCATCATTTAAGCGATCTCTTAAAGCTCACATGGCTTAGGGTGTAGCGCTTGTAAATTTTGTAAATAGCTTTAGTTTTAGATTCTTCTTCTAGCCATTTTGTAGATCTATTTATGGTTAGTATTTTTACAGTAGTAATGTATAGGTTGCTAGCATAATTTTTTTTTTTTTAATTTTCTAATTTGTATACACGTACACTGTTTAACGAGAACTTTAGTGCTCCCGGGTGTTACTTGTCTAAATTAATTAATCTAAATTAATCTAAAAAATCTAGCTTCAAAACGCTTTTTTCAGCAAAAATCTCAGTGCCGAATGGGTTAACTGTAAATGCTCTGTGATATTACTCGTCAGTAGGTACGTAGATTAATATGATATTACTCTTTGATTTTAGGCAATATGCAAGACGGAAGAAAAGGAGTACAAAGAGTATTATGTGTGACATCAATATGTGCTATAGCTTATTCATCTGCTCAGGTTTGTTTATTGACAAGGCTGTAGAACAGTTTTTCTCCCTTTTCATGGATCATTAATAGTATGACGTCGCTCAGCAACCCTTTGGGCGAGTAGTGAAAAAGCGGGCGAGCGAAAAACGGCGGGAAGAAAGTAAGCATTTCTTCAAATACCTCAGTCGACTCACTACCCCTCCCACTTCCAGATAATAAAAATGTTTCTCGTGTCAAATTATCATAAGTCAAACTGTGCTGTGTAGGTGGGTCTCACACGCTCGCCATTTTTGTTTGACTCTGCGCGCCCGGAGCCAAGTGATTGACGTAAGTGTTGCAGTTAACTGCCAAAATTAACCAATCGTATAGTATACTAGAGGCTGGTATACCAGAGTGAGGCATTGAAAACAATGCTTAGAGGTGTCCCTTCCCAGTTTCCCACGGTCTCCCAGTTCCCGCGTGGGTTCTGCGCAACTTTTCGCGATCCGCTTCCCCTACTATTTTGGAGCCTGGAACTGACAAATATTCAGCCAAATCACATGGCCGTTCTGCAGTTCGCATTTATGATTTACTTCATTGAAAGACCTTATAACTGTCGTCCAACCTGGACTGTCGTCTCGTCGTTTTACTATAGTGAGCTTTGGCAAAATAACAACAGAAAGAAGAGGACTGCAAAGCGTTTATATGCCAGGCAAAGATGACAGGCCTATTACTAGCGTGTTTTGTCATGTTTAAAGGAAGGTAAAGTTTGGCGGAAAGTTTTTTTCCAAACATAACTGTTAACACGCCTGTCACACTAGGTTTGTCGTCTTCTTTCCTCTCCCGTCCTGTTGCGTAGGTTCAATTTTGTCGTAGTGACGGAAACAAGTTCTCAAATGTTAGAATTTCTATCAGTTTGCGATCAATGAAAGGCTCGAACTCCTTCAATAATCGCGGGTAAACATATCTTAAACTTGCACATTCCTTTTACCAACAGGCAGCGTTGGAATTTGTTAGGTGTCCTGGATTGAAGGGAATTTATGGCAAACACAAGTATGATTTATTTGGTCATGGTGGGTTGCTGTTTTGGTCGTCGACATCGCTCTTCTTCGCAATGGTAAGTCTCTCAAGAAGCACACCTTTCCGACTTCTCCCGGTCCGAAAAGAAAAATTAAGTCGGGAAAATTTCCATAGCCTCTCACGCAGACGCGTCAAGCCTCGTGCAAACGGACGCAACATTGTTGGCCAACAAATCCCAACATTATTGTGTCTGTTTGCACGCCCTGTTGCATGTTGTTACGTGTTGTTGGGGGTTGTTGCGCAAAGATTGAAACCGGTCAAACGTTTAGCCACGTGCAAACGGATGCAACAACACCCAAAATTGTTGGGTAGCTTTACAGTTACCGAAGTAAGGTCGATGGGTTAATAAGAACTCAAAGTGGCTTAACTAGTCAAGAGAAAGTGAAATGTACTTTTTACCAAATACGTATTGTTAACGCTGTGTTTAACTTGGGGCCAAATCCTACCTGAAACTGTTTATTTTAAGTTCGACAAAACAACCGGATTTTATGCGCTGCTGTGAATAGCCTGTTCCAGGCGTCCAGATCTTGTGGACGGTGCAAAGTTTCAAGTTCAAGATTTAAGTTTATTAAAACACTTTGGATACATATCATAATTGATCCTTGCCCGCAAAATAGCCTAGCTAATCGAGGCGGGAAGAAAAAGTAAAAAAAAAAATACGATAACACTCGCTCAAAGCGCACGTCCACTCGCTCAGATCTCACGTGCAGAAAAAATTTAGCGGGGGGGGTGGTAAAGTAGTGGCTAATTGCTGCGCTCACTCCTTTTTCAACACTGGAAGAGGAATTTCGTATCTCCGCGCGGCCATATAAAATCCTCTATATGTCTTATTACGTCCCTTACTTTTGTGGCGTTTACGTTTCACAAAGGATTACCTTGTCTCTTGTGTGTAGGTTTATTTCGTCATTGTGATATTACCATGCACCAAGTTAAGGGAGTGCTGTATTATTCCCGGTAAGAAGTATACCTTTACTTTAGTGCTCTGTTTGGATTTGACACTCGCCTGAGCGATATTCGTCCAATGCCATGTGAACGTAGCCTTTTCAGCCTTTTAGTACGAGTTCTTTATCACTGGTTTATCAAGTGTTCAGTAACCAGAGGTCGATAGGCACACTGTAAATCAGAAAGATCTGTTTTAGCCCTAAAGATGCAGCGGTTTCGGTGAGTAAAATATGGTCCTATTTTTTGGGTCTAACCGGGCTCCATAATCAGGGCCACCACAGTCCAGTTACCTAGGGCTGATTTGCACTCAGGGGTTGCATAAGCCCCAGCATGGGTTGGAATAGGCTGCCGATGGGTTTGTTTTGGCTTATATTGTGCTCAAATGGCTCCAGGAGGGGCTGAATCAGCCTTTGACCTGCAAGGCTGAATTGGCACTTTAGGGGGCTGGTTCAGATCTTTTTACTTTTCAGTGCACTGCAAAACTTTATTGTATGTTTCTGGTGCATCTTTTCTAGGCTAAATTCTTGAGAGTCAGTCCCCTTAGCTGACGTATTTGTTAGGCATGTTAGACAATAGAGGTGTTTTGGAACTTAACTTCTTACGTTGGGCTTAAAAATAAAGAATTTGACAAGGCTGGACGTCAACGTTAAATCTATTGTTAGACGTCAGGATTTTTGAAACTTTTCTCAACAATTCAGGAGTTTGTGTTCTTTTCCAAACCGTAATTACTGCTGTTGAAACCTCGTAGAGATTACTAAATTTACCGAATAGAACTGAGGAAAAACATAATTCTGGTAGTTGAAGTCAAATGCGCCATCGTGGTCTGGAAATGCCATATTGGAATCATTTAAACCCGGATTGTTTTTAGTTTTGTTTTTGTTTTGTTTTTTTTTTTCCAGCTAGGAAGACCTTTTACGGATACTGCGGATTTCTCTGTCTTATAAACGTTGTGCAAGGATGCGCAATTGTTCTTTTATATACAGGTTTTTCGGATAGTTTGTGGTAAGTTTGTTTCTATTATTTTTTATATAAAAACGGTTTTGGTGACTTCCGCTGTCGTAACTTCATGCACTCTGTCGAGTGCCCCCTTTTTGTTGTTGTTGTTTACATGGAGACTGCCGCTCTCAAGGCGCGGTCACTATGCCATGAAGAATACGTAATAATTTTTAACACGAAAGAAATACGCCACTTTGTCATTGAGGTTGAAAATCATTCTAATGTTCTTTGTCTTAATCTCATCTCTCTCG